TGGCTGCTAATATTTTAACCTTGTAAGTTTGATGGTGAGAACTTTCCTTTGTCATCAAAATATCAAGTCTAACTCGGTTACAATACAAATACCTCCATTGTTAGAAAAAGTATCTAATTGATGTATATCTTGCATACAAAAACAATTCAAGACTATTTATTTTAATTTGAAAGATGAATTCATACCGTTCAATAAACACAGTAAAGAATTTTGTAATTTTCTTTTTCTTTTTCTTTTTATAAAAAAAAAGAATTCTATTTATAAAAAAAAAGAATTCTATTTATAAAAAAAAAGAATTCTATTTATATAAGATAATGTCTGTATATTTTTAGTCTCCTAGAATTAGCGATTGAAAATTGTGTTGTTTATTAAGAAACAATATAGATAATTTTATTTGTTATTTTTTTATAGTTAAAACAAATGAAAATAAACTTTTTCATTATTCATCCAAAAAAAAACTTTTAAAGTTAATAGGAAACATTTATTCTCTGTTGAAATTTTTTTAGTTTTAAAAATAACTTTTTTTTCTATTTCTATTAATAATGATAAAAGAAAAAAAAGCGCAAACAATGAACATATTTTGTCATATTTTAGTACCAAATTTGGTATCGGCTTCTTTCGTGAGAATTACCACTTTTAAAATTATTAATTATTCTCTTTGATAATATTGTATTTAAATCTGTAGTCACAAAATAATTTGCGCACTCTTTTGATTTTACACATAAGTCACGACATCATTTTTTTTTGCTAACATTGTTTTTAACAACCTGACTTTGTCATTCTGTAAGTATAAATATAATTTTACTTTAAGATGGTAGCATTTTCAATTTTTTTGTATTTTGATAGAAAATTAAAGTCTAAAAGGTTATTTCATCAACCAATAAGAAAATAAAAATTTCTTATATAGATACTCAAAAATCTTTTTGTATTAGTTCTGCAATAATAGTTTCGATCAAAATAACTGTCTCCATTGAATACATCATTTTCAATTATATATGATTCTTATTTTCAATGGTTATCGATGTTACTTTTGATTTATTGTTGTACATTAATAAAAACAAAACAATTCTTTGTATTTTAATACAATCTCATAAATATTAATATTATTTGAGTGGACAATGTTAAGAAACAAAAGCAGCATGTGCGAATGTCAATGACACAAGGCATGATAATTTGCAATGACAATACCAAAGAAAATAAAGAAAAGAAGAAAAAGACTAATATTTTTGATAGTCAAAATATCTTTGATTTTCTTAGTTTTTTTTTTGTTTTTTCTTAAGTCGGTTGATAATAGAGAATAGAAACTACAATATCATAATTAAAATTGCATTCAGATAACTCTGAGACTAAATTTTTTTTTTCTTATATCAGAATGACAACTGTCAGAAACAACTGGAAGAGAAAAAAACTCTCTTTTATTAAGAAGATCATAAAGGTTTTCTGTATTTGTTTGAAATACATAATCGGAAAAAAAAGGAATAATTCTTTTTTTTTGTTTACAAAGTAAACATTATAGAAATAGTTTGTTGAAAAGAGAAAAAGATTTATTTGATAGCAGACACTTTTAATCATTATGCAAAAAAAAATAGAAAACAGACACTGATTCTTACATTTATTGTCATTCTGATGCATTTTTGTTATGTATTCGGTGAGTATATTTCTTAGGAAAAGAACGATTATAATCATCTGGAATACAAAATAAGCAGAATCTTTTGAGTGCAAATTTCTAACACTACTATCATTAAAATAAATAGCAAAGAAAGGTATAATAAAACTTTCATCCAATTGATTGAGGCTTTATCGCATGAATATATTTTATTTTTCATCTCAATCTTCTTTCATTTTTCTTTCTTATAAAAAAGAAAACAAGAGTATCTTATTTTCTTCATATACACTCATACTACATCTGCTTTTTTTAAAACAGCATGTATGCATTTCATATAAGTGACAAGTGACATTTTTTATAGTCTCCATAACATGAAAAAGAAAAGAAAAGAAAAGAAAAATACTAGTTAAATCGTGCTAATGATGAATGATGGTATAGTATTACTATATGAAACTTAGTCGTAGCATTCTGGCTATAGCAATAGTATCGTTATTTTGATCAGTACCCAGTTAGACAAGGGCATAGGTTAACATGTTCGAATATTTGTTCTTTTACTCTTGAAAAACAAACAATAAAAAACCGTTTGTATTTATGTAAAAAGTAAGATTGCAGGCATCTATGCCTTCAGGCTTGCTTTATTTTTCAAAAACAAGAATTTTTTTTTTCTCTTTAGAATGTAAAAAGCATATATTTTAACGCCTTTTTCTTTATTGATTTTGTCAGACAGGAAACTAGAACGGCAAGAAACAAGTGAAGAAAGAAAGAAGAACTCATTTAAATATGTTAAGATCTTACTGTAAAATGAGTATTTTAAACGAGTAATAGTTTTATATGACAATTATTTTATAGAAAAACCACATTCAACTTTTAAACTTACTCTAATAAATGCAATATATGCCTACTTATGTTTTTTGACTGTTTTTGACTGTTTTTTTTTGTGTATTTTTATCTTATTAGATGTTTACTAACATAATGAATAATAATGAATCAACAAATTTGTTCGGTTCTAATGAAACAAATGGTTTTTTCCTTGAGTCACTCACCAAAATGCACTATAATAAATATGTTTTTTTTGCTGTTTGTTCAGCATTACTTGGTCTACCGTCCAATATACTTTTATTAGTTATACTTATGCGTATTGGTTCATTTAGTAGACGTCAAAGTGTTTTAGCACGTTTATCATTTATGAAAATAAAATCAACAGGTTCATTTGAAAGATTTTTATTTGAAGTTGTTTTTATTGATACACTTTTAATAATTTATCATTTTGTTGACAATTTTTTAAGTTATATACATGAAGATCGATCAACTGGTCAACATTATCTTATACATGTATCAGACTTTTGTTGTAAATTTTTTACTTATATTGCTAAAATGAGTGTTCTTTTGACAACATGGTTATTATTATTTTTAATTATTAATCAACTTATACTTACTATGGAACATAATAATCAACATCATCGTTCATGTTGGAATCGTGGTTTATATTATGTTAATGCAAAATATTCAACTGTTTTTCTTGTATTTATTTTCAGCGTTTACAATATATATCCAATTGAAGTTCTTAAATATAAAAAAAAAGAAGATTTACAAGATTATCAAAAAGGTAAAAAGAAGAAAATAAAATAAAAAAAAAAGCTTTTTTTTTTAAATGTTTTTTTGTATAAGTAGAAGGCGTTCCTGGTGTATGTTCAACTCAATTAGAAGGTAAAAGTACACAATTATTAAATATAACAAATTATAGTTATAATTTGCTTGGCGTTGCTATACCTTGTGTTATAATACTTATTATATCAATAATAATTATTTATCGTACATGTCGAAATAATACATATATGAATAAAGAATGTGCGTCATTTTATTATATAGCTGGAACAATTGGTATTATGCATGCATTATTTAACTTACCAGCACGTTTAAGTGATCTTCTATTATTATTTTCATCAGCATATGTATCATTTTATCCATATTTAATTAATTTTAATCATGAAGCCCAATCTTTTATATATTTGTCATATGGATATAAATGTTTTATATGTATATTAATAAGTCGACGTTTTCGTTTACATGCTAAAAGTGTTTTATGTTTTTTAATTGAAAGTAAATATGAAGATCGTCATACAACAGAAAGATTTAATGCAACCAATGATTGGCATCATATAGAAAAACTAAAAACACCTACAAGATATTATCATCACCAATATCATGGAACAGATTCTTATAAAAATATAATACCAGTAGGTTTTCCTGTTTTTCTTTTGTGAAATTATTTTTATTAAGTTTAATTTCCCTATTTTATAATTAGTGCTCTAAGGATTGTTCAAAGTTGTTTTTTTTTAATGAAACAGTTAGTATGTCACAAAATATTAGAAATTGATAAAACGAGTCTACAAATACAATTATATTATATACGTATAAATGATTTTGAAATGTTCGATTGATTCGATGCACGTATCGATGATAATAAAAACTGATTAATAATTAAACATTGTACTTTTCTATCTTTTTTTAAATAATCTAGTCAGGTTGACCTTTCGTTTTCATAGAAAACTTTTATTTGAACTCAAGAAATACAATAAACAGATAGCAGGTGACAATTGAGCGGGTGTTTTATCATGCATTATCATCATTTTTGATTATTGAAGATAGTATGTCAAATATTATTTCTAGAAAAATATATACGACATCAAAGTCAAATTTATAAATATCATGCTAATTTGAACTTCGACTATCGAAGAATTGCTTCTCTTTATTTTCAACATTGAACTCATTTTATAAATTTAAAAAAAATATTACATAACACTTTTTCATCGATGAAAATCAACTCTTTATTTTCTTTTGCTTTTGAAAATAATTAGAAAAAAAAAAGATGAAATTTATTATTTTATTTTGCATAAATATTAAATATTCATTATGAATACATTTGGTAAATGTTAATTTTTCTTTGATGATAAAGACAGTCAAATAAAAATATTCTGAAAATTATAAATAGACTTTTAAAGTAATTTGAAATTACTTGTTCTTAAAATTTATTTTTTCTTTTCATTATGTCTATTTCAGTATATATATATAGGCGTGAACAGTCAGTGGGATATCCCGATTTGTTTGCTTTCTATTATCAGCTAAAAACCTAATCATGTTCAGGCCAAATTATCACCCTCATCGCCACGCAACTAAATGTAGAATATTAGCTTCCTGATTGCGGTCATATATAAAAATTTTCATCGCCAGAAAAATGATAGGACACGATTTTTGAAACTGAATAATTTCATATAAGACAGCCATCAGGAGCTAATATTTTAAATTTAGTTGTGTGATAATGAGGGTGATAATTTGGCCCGAACATGATTAGATTTTTAACTGATAATAGAAAGAAAGCAAATCGGGATATCCCACTGACTGTTCATGCCCATATATATATATATAGACCTAGAAATGAAAAGAAATGTGAAATTATTTATCACAAAACATGCAAAGTTCATTTCCGTTTTTCCTTTTGATCTCATTGACTTTTCTTTTTTATTCTCTTTCACCTCTTTTTCTTTCTCTATAGGTTGAAAAACCATTATCAAGAAAGTTCCCATTTTCACACATTAACAAAGAAGATTTACAACGGTTTATAACATCAGAAACGACATCGTGGATTCGACCATATTTTACTCAAAATGAAAAACATAATTTATTAAGACCATGTGGTCGTTCAGTTAGTTGTCATGAACTATCTATACCATTTTCATCAATACCATCTAATGTTGTTGAAGTACCTAATACTTATTCTCCAAATGAATTAAATACGTCATCATCACATATTATAACAGATTCTTCATCATCATATAATGTTAGTATAGCTTTACCAAATGGTGACTATGCATATTTACCATTACCACAAAAACAAGCATTAAATTATCGATTGTCTTCTGCATCATCATCAAAAAAGAATAAAAATGATCCGTCATCCCATAAAGATTCATTAAAAATGACTTTATTTTCAGAAAATGTTAAAGAACAGCCTATAAATAGGATAAATCTCCTTTCATCATCACATATTTATTGATGAACATTTGAAGAAAACTAATTTTGTATCGTTAATTACACCATTTTTTTTAATTTTCCTCTTTTGCTTATATAGACAAATTAGAAAAAAAAAGGATATAGAAGAATAGTTATTATTAAAATGTCAAGCAACGATGACAAGTGAAAACTTTTAAAAGCTGGCCTATGCATATTAATGAAAAAAAAAGTGGTATTCATTACTAATAGTGTTAGACAAGAAAAAAGAAGATCATCAGAGCATTAAAAAAAGGCTTACTGTTATAATGAAGGTAATTTTCTTTTTCGTAAATTCATTTATTCTATTTTCCTTCTAGGCAAATGAGAAAAAGGATGAATTGACTTTAAAAAAATGAACTTGTCTCCGTTTCTTGTCGTATATCTTTAAAAAGAAAAATCAAGTCTCTTTCTCTCTCAGATAGTTGTCATTTCCCTATTAAACAAATGGCAGATTCAAGTTATTACTTAAATCAAACTGTCCCTGTTTCATCCATTCAAACAACAACACCTATGAATTATATTCTATTAGGTAATCGTATTGGAACAATTATCTATTCAATAATTTATATATTGGGTTTTCTTGGTAATACATTTGCTCTTATGACATTTTCCAGTCGATGTATGCGTCAAAATTCAAGTGGCATATTTCTTCTTATATTATCAATAAGTGATATTATTGCACTTGTAACATCAATATGGTTCTATTTATCTGATGCATTTGCAATTAATTTACAAAATTATTCCGCATTAGCATGTCGTCTTCGTACATTTCTTGCTTATGTTTTTATGGATTTATCATCGTGGTGTGTAGCCGGTTTAGCATTTGATAGATATATACGTATTCGATTACCTATGTATTCAAAAAATGTTTGTACACCACGTAATGCATTAATAATGATATTAATATTTTTTCTTTTGTTATGTGGTATAAATGGACATTATTTTTCACCTGGTATTGGACAAGAACGTGGTGAAAATCGTACAACAGCACATTGTTTAGAAAATCGTAAAAAATATCCAAATTATTATTATTTTTATAAAATAATTTGGCCAAAAATTGATATGATTATTTTTTGTTTTTTACCTGCTTGTATTATGATTTTATGTAATGTTAATATAATTTATCTTCATAAAAAACGATTACATAATTTTGAAAATTTAAATAATTATAGACTAAAGAAAAGATCTACACAAATAAATATTCAACAAACATTAAATGGTATTTTACCTGTTCAAAACGCATCTATAATACGTCGAAGAACTATGGAAAGACAAATGTCATTAATGATGGCAGCTTGTGTTATTGTATTTCTTTGTACAACATTACCTATAACAATATATCTTATTTTACTTGAACAAGTTATTATGAAAAATCCAAATTTTGCACGAAACAATGCCTTTTTACCATTTATATTTCGTATGCTGCGTGCTCTTATGTATATTCATTTTGGCTCGAATTTTTATTTATATTGTTTAACTAGTCGAATATTTCGTGCTGAATTTATTCAACAAATAACATGTCGAAAATTCATTGTAGAATCAAATCATGACCAATCAAAACATTTTATACTTAATAAACTTTTTCATTTATAAAAATTTAACAATGAATACAAAGAAATGATTGCCTGGATAAATAATAACATCATCACCAGAATCTTGAACTTTTTATTGATTATGTTAATGAAAAAAAGTTAATATCCTTTCTTTTTTTATTCATTAATATTCAACACGCCATTCGTTAAACATGCGAAGAAAATGAACTTTTGTTTTTTTTTCTTTGTTGTTCTATCTATAAAGTTTACTAATAAAGATGAAAAAAGAAATCAGAGCGTTAATAATTTGAACTATATAAAATTTATTAACTTTCTTATAAAGCAAAAAAAAAATGTCAAATTGTTTTCTTCTCGATAGGTTTACCGTATAGAAACAATGATTATTTTCATCTTCAAGTTTTTGTTTACTGATATAGATATATTAATAATTTAATTTGATAATGATGAATGATTAACACAAAAAGTACATAAATGTTGTTCATTATTATCATCATGATTATTATCATTATTTCTCATTTGAATAAAAGCACAATGATTTTGTGTTACATTAGGTAAACTAAGTACACAATGAAGATGATTTATATAACTAACAGCAAGACGAAGTGTTTCAATTTTTGATAATTTTCTATCGGCTGGTTCAGTTGGAATAAGATGACGTAGTTCAACAAATGCTGAATTAACTGAATGCGTCCGATCACGTTCACGTTGATTTGCTAAATAACGAGGTTTAATCCACTTTACATTTGATGACAATTTATTACTTGTATGTGTTGGAGACATTCGACGTTTTCGACGTATATTATCAGTGTTCATTTAAAAACAAAAGAAAAAAAGAATATTTCAGTTAGCGAATATGTGTAAAATGAGATACTGTTTTGGCTTTTTCCTTTTCTATTTAATGAGACTGATTTGCTGTTCCGCCAATCAATAGAACAATTGTCTTCTTTTTTTTCTTCTTACAATGACACATGAAACGACGGATCATCAATCGATTTTCTAATGATTCTAACAGATTGTACATCCTCGAATCAACTAATCGGAATTGCAAAAGAGCATATTTATATTCCTTTAAATAGAGAAAGAAAAGAAGAACTATTTGTTTGTTCGATATTTATCTAAAACAAAAAACAAAAAATGTCGTTTAATCAGACTTCCTACCGATTAAGTAGTTGATACCGCATTTCATCAAAGCATTTATCATTCGATATAAAACGAAGAATGAATCAATCCATAATGAGAATTCATTGTCTTATATATATCATTGATGAAAAAAAAAAAAAAAACTTCTCGAGAAAATATACAATAACAAAATGATAACGGTTATTCATATGCTAAATGCTCATACGCAATATAATGATCTTAATAACATTTATTTATTCATTTATTTAGTTTCTTTAATGATTAATGAATTAATATATAGATTGTATAGAAAAGATTATAAAGTTCAGTGCAATATAATATTTATTTTCAATGATTAATCTTTATTGTCTTTATTTATAATTGTTGTCTATAGAATCAGATAATCTTTATATAAATTGTCCGAACCAAGGTCATTTGATTTAACTATTAATAATTAGAAACTGTTACTTTATCTTTTCTCACAAATATTTCAGGTAAGACAATACCGACTGCTCTACATGTTTTTCCATATATTTGTAATTTTATTCTTCAATGATAGTGCAAATATTATGTTATATTTTGAAGTACTTGATACTTGAGCAGTAAGTGTATTCTGTTTTTTTTTAAATCAAAGTTTTGTTTTTTATATCACAAAAAAAAAAGAAAATTTAAGGAAGTTTTTTTTCATTTACATTTGATCTGTTAATTAACCAATAAATGATTCTTGTAGTAAATTGAAATATTGGCGTGTAAATACCAATAGCTACGACTATTAATGTTTCACTGAGCCCACCAGCAATACAGTCTGATAACCAATGCGCACCACTAACCAAACGTGCTACTGAGAATAGAATAGCGAAAAACCATATGATTGTATGCATGAAAAATCGTTTTGCTCGTGATAATGACCTTGATGATCGATTAATAATAGTTGACATGAATAAAGACCAAATTGTATTTGTTGCTGCATGTTCACCGGGCCAACTAAAGTGAAAATAACGAATGTATTTATATATCCGTTTGATTAAATCAAGTGAAAATATTGGAAAATGCGTTTCAGTAAATATCATTAGATGCTTTATAGAATATATACGTTGAATCCGAATATGAGAAAGTTAGAATATATAATTATGTATATCGCTGATAAGAATAAAAGAAATACTCCTTTTCTTTGCATTCATCAGTCATCTAAGGGAAGTTAACTTTCTTACATCAGAGATGAATGTAGAGGAAACGTGTGTTTTGCGTGTTTTAATCAGAGAAATATATTCGCTTGAAATGAGAAATTCTATTTTTCTGAAACTAATTATAAAGACATTTTAGATTAGAATACTACGCCATTTCATAGTTCGTCAATACTTCCCTCTCTCATTCAGTACAATAGAATATAAAATTAATTTTCTTTTTCTATTATTTTCTTTTAGTTATAGTTAAACTTAATTTATTAACTTTTCATTAAAATATGTAAGTTAGTTTCGATTGAAATCAAATGAGAATACTTAATAACTATTTTTTTTTTACATTGAATATTCTTTTTATGATAAATCGCTATGACATATTGAAGTTCTGAATAAATAGATTCGAATTTTTCAGAGAACTTGAAATCCTTATGATATAATAAATTACCTATCATAAGCAATTTCTTTAACAAGATCACGATTTTTTGCTTCTTCAAATAAACGATCAATAGTAAATGAATCGGACTTTGATGATGATGATGATATAGCTTGACGTTCAAGATTGACAGTTGAAAAACGAAATACAACAGATGGCGATGGTCGTTTTGGACATAAATAATCTCTTGAAAGTTTTGATAATAACATTTGTCCAGCCATTCCATAAATAATTATAGCTAATAAAACAGATATTTTAAATGAACGTGTATGATTTTGAAATACAAATTTCGATGAAAAAACCCAAGTTGTTATTAAAATAAAAACAATATTTGTAATAATTTCACCAATAATAATTGAATTAATTGTAACAAATATTTTTGCAATTAATGTATAATTATCATGTGTAAGTAACCATTGATTGAAAAAGCGAAATGCAAGTAAATCGATACGATTCCAAATGGATATTTGAAGAGAATGATCATATTTAAATGTACAACATTGTGAACCACATAAACACCATGAACCAACAAGAATTAAAGCAAAACTAATAAAGATTATTAAACGTTTAATATTATATTGATAAAGTTCAGGAATGTTTCTGCTATTCGAAGGCATTTTTTGTTTAATATCTAAAACTAAAGGTAGTTGTTTTCTTTTTAAAGATTTAAACAATCTTTTTTTTTTTGTATTAGAATAATTGTTCACGCACGAGGTTTTTTTTGTTTTGAAGTATTAATATTTGAGAAAAAAAAACAAACAACGAAATAAAATAGAAAAAAAGGGACCATGAGTAAAAATAGCCATACGTGATTCATAGTGAATTGTTTTTTTTTTGAAAAGGTAACCAAATATTTATTCATGACAATTTTCTATTTCATGGTGAAGAATAACTTAGTAATGATAAGACTCAATCTATGTTCTATAAATAAAACTTAAATTTAAATTTCAATCAGTATTCATTTTTATAAATGAAAGTTAAATTTTTCAAGATTAATTTTTCTAAATTTTCAAAAAAATTTAATTCATGAAACATAAAATGAATAAAATCAAAAATATATTCTCGAATATTTAATAGTTCATTTGTAGAAATTGATATTCAAGACAAGCACGATTAACTGATTTATTGTTTTGGTTATTCGACTCAAATTGTTTTTCTTTTTTGCTCATACATAAAGTATCAAAATGAAAAATAAAAACAAATATAGTGCAATTTCTGATTCCGTAATATTTGTAGTTAAAAAAAATCGAAAAGAAACTAAATTATTAATTGGTAATGATCAATTTAAGAAGTTAACTCCCTGAAGCCGGTCGTACACACGTTGTACTATTTATTTTTTCCGTATCGAGCACGGCTGACATAAACAATCAGCATAACTCTGTGAGTCCTCACTACTACAGATAGGTTATTTTAGAATTGAGGGTCGAGGAATTAGTACATCCATACTTAACAGCAGCATATTTCCAGTATTCAAAGCTACAAGTTTCCATCAGTGATTCATGCCAATAGTAATCAATGATGGATGTTATAGTTTGATTTCTTTGAATCTTTCAAATAGATTACGGAATCGGTCAGACTTTCTTTTAAAACTCATAAATTTCAATCAGTTTTGAACCTCGTTTTTTATTTCGATGAAATCTAATAATAGCTCCGATTAGCGCAATCAAAACTGAGCAGAACTCTTAGAAAAAACTAACAGGATAATGAATTCTCAATACCAAAAAAAAAAAAATGTCATCTTCAAAATCACAATTCAAGAATTAGTGCATCTTTGAAATTGATTGAGCAACTACTTTTCGGTTAACAAATAAATCCGATATCAAAGCTTTAAACTCATCAGTCTCATTTTCTACTATTTCACAAATCTCAAGTTTCTTAGTTTTGTTAAACATCGCTTTAATTTTGTTTAGATGATTGTAGATAAATCTTATTAATAGCTTCATCAGAGGCGCACCCAAAAATTTTGAAAGGAAAGCGCCCGACTCATTATGGGAGGTGCACACCAGCAGTAAAATAAATTTTTGTTTCTTAAAAAATTTTTTTTACCTGTATCCCCTCAGGCGTTTTTTTGCCAAGAGGACGCCCGAACACCCTGTACACTCCCTAGATAAGCTCCTGAGCTTCATATTAAAAGTAATAAATTGTTGATCATTGTCTTTATCTAGTTTCAAGGGTACAACAAAATTTCACATAGTCGATCTTCTATTTTTTTCGACAAACTATTACATTCAACCGTGTAAAACATCTTGTAGAAAATATTTTCCAGGTAGATGTATTTTATAATAAAAAATATCTTTACAAAAAAACAAGAAAAAGATTTTTAAATCTTGAAATGTAAATATTTTATTGTTTTATAGATCATACAAAAGGAAAACACGAATACATACATATACAACCATATAGAAAAAGAAAAGACGCGGACACAATATTAATTAATAGCAAAGATCTTAATAAGACATTTCTTCATCTTCATCACTATCTGGAGTTTTTCGTCTTTCTACATATTCAATTTGTTCATCATCTTGACTTGTATCCATTTCAGATTCATCATCATCGATATGTCCAGTTTCTTCTTCATCAACACCAACTTCATCTAACCATTCAGTTTCTTGTTCATCATTATCATCATCAGCTATATCTAATTGTTCAACTGTTGTTGCTGACATTGTACTTTGTTCATCAATACTATGTTTTTTACGTAAACGATGTCGAAGATATTTTGGATGAAGTAAAACACGTATTGGACGTGTTATTTCAACAAATTCATCATTTATATCCATAACGAAACATTGAGATCGTATTGGAAATAATACAACAGAAAATGTTGCATAACATGGACCTTTAAAAAATAGCACAAAAAGCTTGTCAGTACAGCTCTTGTGGAGATTAAAATGTAGAACTCGCATGTGTTCTTTAGTCTCATTATATTTTCTTTCGAAAAACATAATCTGAGTCCTACAAAATAAGAAAAAAAATACTTACGAAGCCAATGCTGATGTGAAAATGTAACTTTTGAATCAATACGTAATGAATTATCTTCAGATAATGTTCGGATATTATCATCATTAATTGGTAATAAA